TTATGAGCGGGCGCCTGGGTGGCTCAGATGGTTAAGCATCTGCCTTCGGCTCAGGTCATGATCCCAGGGTCCTGGGATCGAGTCCCACATCGGGCTCCCTGCTCCTTGGGAGCCTGCTTCTCCCTCTGCCTCTCTCTCTCTCTCTCTGTCTCTCATGAATAAATAAATAAAAAAATCTTTAAAAAAAAAAAAAAAAGAACATATTATGAGCAACTATATGCCAACAAATTAGGCAATCTGGAAGAAATGGATGCATTCCTGGAAACTTATAAACTACCAAAATTAAAACAGGAAGAAACAGAAACCTGAATAGACCCATAACCAGTAAGGAAACTGAAGCAGTAATCAAAAACCGCCCAAAAAACAAGAGTGCAGGGCCAGATGGTTTCCCAGGGAATGCTATTAAACATTTAAAAGAGAAATAATACCTATTCTGATGAAGCTCTTTCAAAAAATAGAAATGGAAGGAAAACTTCCAAACTCATTCTGTGAGGCTAGCATTACCTTGATCCCCAAACCAAAGACTCCATCAAAAAGGAGAATTACAGACTAATATCCTTGATGAACATGGATGCCAAATACTCACCAAGATACTAGCCAATAGGATCCAACAGTACATTAAAAGGATTATTCACCACGACCAAGTGGGTTTTATTCCTGGATTGCAAAGGTGGTTCAACATTCGCAAATAAATCAACATGATAGATCACATTAATAAAAGAAAAGAGAAGAACCATATGATCCTCTCAATAGATGCAGAAAAAGCATTTGACAAAGTACAGCATCCTTTCTTGATTAAAACTCTTCACAATGTAGGGATAAAGGGAACATACCTCACTATCATAAAAGCCATCTATGAAAAGCCCACAGCAAATATCATTCTCAATGGGGAAAAACTGAGAGCTTTCCCCCTAAGGTCAGGAACAGGGCAGGGATGTTCACTATCACCACTGTTGTTCAACACAGTACTAGAAGTCCTAGCCTCAGCAATCAGACAACAAAAAGAAATAAAAGGCATTCAAATTGGCAAAGAAGAAGTCAAACTCTCACTCTTCGCAGATAACATGATACTTTATGTGAAAAACCCAAAAGATTCCACCCCAAAATTGCTAGAACTCATACAGTAATTCAACAATATGGCAGGATACAAAATCAATGCACAGAAATCAGTTGCATTTCTATACACTAACAATGTGACTGAATAAAGAGAAATTAAGGAGTAGATCCCATTTACAATTGCACCAAAAACTATAAGATACCTAGGAATAAACCTAACCGAAGACGTAAAGGACCTGTACTCTAAAAACTACAGAACACTTATGAAAGAAATTGAGGAAGACACAAAGAGATGGAAAAACATTCCATGCTCACGGATTGTAAGAATAAATGTTGTTAAAATGTCTATGCCTCCCAGAGCAATCTACACATTCAATGTAATCCCTATCAAAATACCATCGACCTTTTCCACAGAGCTGAAACAAATAATCCTACAATTTGTATGGAACCAGAAAAGACCCTGAATCACCAGAAAATGTTGAAAAAGAAAACCAAAGCTGGGGGCATCACAATGCCTCATTTCAAGCTACATTACAAACTGTGATCAAGACATGGTACTGGCATAAAAACAGACACATAGATCAATGGAACAGAACAGAGAGCCCAGAAATGGACCCTCAACTCTATGGTCAACTAATCTTCGACAAAGAAGGAAAGAATATCCAATGGAAAAAGAACAGTCTCTTCAATAAATGGTGCTGGGAAAACTGGACAGACACATGCAGAAGAATGAAACTGGACCATTCTCTTACACCATACACCAAGATAAACTCAAAATGGACAAAAGACCTAAATGTGAGACAGGAATCCATCAAAATCCTAGAGGAGAACACAGGCAGCAACCTCTTCAACCTCAGCCACAGCAACTTCTTGCAAGACACATCTCTAAAGGCAAGGGAAACAAAATCAAAAATGAACTACTGGGACCTCATCAAGATAAAAAGCTTCTGCACAGCAAAGGAAACAGTCAACAAAACTAAAAGGCAACCTATGGAATGCGAGAAGATATTTGCAAATGACATATCAGAGAAAGGACTGGTATCCAAGATCTATAAAGAACTTATCAAACTCAACACCCAGAAAAACAAATAATCCAGTCAAGAAATGGGTAGAAGCCATGAACAGACATTTCTTCAAAGAAGATGTACAAATGCCAACAGACACATGAAAAAATGCTCCACATCACTTGTCATCTGGGAAATACAAATCAATACCACAATGAGAAACCACTTACACCAGTTAGAATGGCTAAAATTAACAAGACAGGAAACAACAAATGTTGGCGAGGATATGGAGAAAGGGGAACCCTTCTTACACTGCTGGTGGGAATGCAAGTTGGGATAGCCACCCTGGAAAACAGTTTGGAGGTTCCACAAGAAGTTAAAAATAGAGCTACCCTATAACTCAGCAATTACACTACTGGGTATTTACCCCAAAGATACAGATGTGGTGAAACGAAGGGGCACCTGCCCCAGTGTTCATAGCAGCAATGTCCACAATAGCCAAATTGTGGAAGGAGCCGAGATGTCCTTCAACAGATGAATGGATAAAGAAGATGTGGCTTATGGAATATTACTCAGCCATCAAAAAGAATGAATACTTACCATTTACATCGATGTGGATGGAACTGGAGGGTATTATGCTAAGTGAAATAAGTCAATCAGAAAAAGACAATTATCATACGTTTCACTCATATGTGGAATATAAGAAATAGCAAAGAGGATCAGGGGAAGGGAGGGAAAACTGAATAGGAAGAAATCAGAGAGGGAGACAAACCATGAGAGACTCTTGACTCTGAGGAACAAAATGAAGGTTGCAGAAGGGGAGGTGGGTGGGGGGATGGGGTAACTGGGTGATGGGCATTAAGGAGGGCATGTGATGTAATAAGCACTAGGTGTTATACACAACTGATGAATCACTGAACACTACATCTGAAACTAATGATGTACTATATGTTGGCTAATTGAATTTAAATAAAAAATAATAATAAAAGAAAAGAAAAACATTCATTTGGAGGAAGGAAAAAAAAAACCTTTCACAATATAAGTCAGAAAGCCTCTATCCAGAAAAAGGTACAAAAGTACATACTCATAAAATTTTACATACAATTTCATGAGATTCATCGTAACCTCCAGCCCACTCATGATTTCTATCCACCCAGGTTTATAACCTCTAAGTTAAGGAGAACAAAAAATGAACTTATCTTTTTATCTTCCAAATTTTTAATTTTATAACCAACAAAATAATTTTACAACCTAAAAATATTTACTTCTTTTAGATTTGAACAAAACAATTCATTCCTTTAAGCCATATTTCTTTCAAACTAAATAATGCTACTTTTTCAATCCATAATTTACACCATTAGTTAAAGATTACAAACTTAGATAATAAAATTTTAAAATAATTAAATTGCCGTTTTTTTAAGTGTGGATTAATTTATTCACTGTTAAACCATCTCTAATTCACTAAATAAATGTCACAGGTAGAAAAAAAAACTTACCTGCAAAATGGGAAAAGTAGCAGTGGTGATGCCCATTTTGTGTAAATTTAAGAGCATTTCACTTCCACTCCATATTTTACAGGATGATTCATAATCCCTTTCCATAAGATGTTCAGAGTTTGCTTCTAACCAACTAAAATAAAACAATTCCATCAACCAGTATCATCCTTACATGCACTATTTCAACAAAACAAAGAAAACTGTGATACATTGATCATATTCCTTTAAGCTCTTAGGATACAAATGTGAATTAAGACATCTTTTAAAATGCACGCACATTTCATATTACATAATAAACACTTACATAGCTAAAAAGTAAGCTTTTATTCAGAAAAAAGAAACATGCATGTGATTTCCCAGTTGTGTTTTTTTAGATCCACACTGCTTTATCTTTCCAACTGAGAACCAGGTATAGGAGCTGATCCCAAATGTGCATAAAGGAAATATAAAACAATCTAATAAAGAAATTAGGGCGCCTGGGTGGCTCAGTTGGTTAAGCGACTGCCTTCGGCTCAGGTCATGATCCTGGAGTCCCGGGATCGAGTCCCACGTCGGGCTCCCTGCTCAGCAGGGAGTCTGCCTCTCTCTCTGACCCTCC